TCGCGTATCCTCCGTGAAACGTATCGCGTAAAACCGTACGAAAATATGCGAGATAACGATTATCGTTCTTACATAATTACCGGTTTTAAATTACCTTCGAGTTTTTATTGAATATCGCGTAATCGACGGATTCGTGGTAAAAAAATTTTGAATTAGAATTGTCCGAATGTGTGAAAAAAAAAAAAAATGAAATAAAATAGTTTTAAAAAATTTCGATCATTTCTTTTTTTTTTTAATCAATTTTCAAATTTTAAGCCATTTCGATACTCGATATTAAATAATTGAACATTTAAATATACAAAATTCGAATATTGGAAATTCGAAAATTTAAATTTTCGAAATTGGTCGAGAAACCAATTTTTAATCGAGTATTTTTAAATTTAATATTTTTTAAACAATTTTAGAAAATTAAAAATGTCAAAATACTCGGTAACAAAAAAAAAATCGGTTCGTTGGCCAAATATGTTATTTCGGGTACTCAAACAATTCTGATTTCCTTTGCGAAAAGAAGTTCAACGGTCCGATTCCACTCGGTTACCGATCGATTCCCTCGTTGTAGTTTCCAGGAACGTTTAGCCGCTTTTTTCAGTTGGCCCTACTGGGCATGATTAGCGCATGTTTCGGCAGTTTCGACGGAAACGAATTATTGTTGTCGGCCGGTGGTCGCGTTGGTAACGCTTCAACGTGCCTATTCTCGTGTCCATTCTTCGTTACAAACTAAACAGAAATTTCGAGAAGTTTCGTGAACACCACTACCTGTGTATCTATATTCCACTTGATCTTTTTTTTTTTTTTCTTTTCAGTTCATTCTTTATTCTTGATTTAAGGGCGTGGGGGTAGCCATGTATTATATTTATCGATAAAATTCTAGTAGACTATTGACAGAATATCTATTGTGCATTTTATTTTAAAGATAATTTAGATCATTATTGTTTCTCAGTCGTATTGGATTTTTTTCTTGTTCTTTCTGGCAAGACTTCGTTAATCGATTCCGTTTCCTTCATGGTAAACAAGAAAGGTCCTCTATTCAATAGAGAATTCAAAGGTTCTCGTTGGTATGGAAAAATTGTTGAATCGGTATTGGTCTGTGACTCCGTAGACGAAGAAATTTTCTTTATTATCGACGAGGATCTGAGCCGTCTAATAGGAACGTAAAACTTCTTTATTATGATTCGGATAATACAAAGAATGAAATAATATTTGAACATGTTAACAAAATCTTCAAATCGAATGGAATATATTTATGATACGATATTTATTGATATTATTAATTTTCCTATTATTGCCCATATGGCAATTTAACGATGACGATGTATATGAGATATATAAAGGATGCGATACGATACGCAGTTTCGAAATCAAACGAAATCGACCGAGACGATCTACGATAGTCTGAGGTCGCAGACGTGCGGACGGGGCCTAAATGTTTAATGCGCCAGACGGATAATTCGGATAATTCAGCCGGAGATCGTATCGAAAATAGCACGACCGAGATTATTTGATTGGTCGAGACGTGAAAGCGGCACGAGACAATTTCCTGCAATATCGACCGATTAAGTGACATGATTAATCCGCATCAAATTTTACACGCTTCATTTTTCTTTTCCAAGATCGATTGACACTTATCGTCGTTATATTCCCCGCTAATAAAAAATACATAATGGTGTGCAAATACTTTTCGTATAGCCATTCTATATTCATCCAAAAAAAAAGGAAAAAATATATCACTCGAAATAATGAAATATCCTCGATGTTAAATTATTTTCAATATCAATTTAATTATTCGAATGATATGGCAACTGTGTCGGTTCAACGAACGAGTGAAATACTCCGAAATAACAGAGAAATTTGCTTGCGTGCGAAGCATCTGAAAAGATTAGTCGGTTGAAAAGAGGGAAAGCAGTAAAATCGCGCGTTTGGTACACGGTGGAGAACGAACTGTTGAAATTAAACGTGGCATTGTGATGTTGTGAAAGGTGCCTCGACCGAAAGCAATGGTTCCCACCGGAAGAACCGCAGTCCTGCAACAGAAAGCGGGGTATCTATCGGTCCAGCATCTGCTGTGATAAAGAGTACTGCAACAAGAATATAACTCTGGAGTTACTATCTCCCAACTCGCCTGAATTATCCTCAGGTATTCTTTTCGCTGTTTTGCAAACAGCAAAACATACCCTACCACCTACGTGTTTTTCGTTTTACTTTTCTCCTTTTTTTTTTCCATTCGTTCTAATCTTTCGTGCTTTTCTTTTTCATCTTTGATACTTTTTTTTTTTTTCTTTTTTTTTAGGTTAGTAGGAAATAAGAGATGGATGGTAAAATTTACAATAAAAAATCGATTTTAATCATTTTTATATTATAAGAAATATTGGATTTTCATAACGTAACGTTTAATAATATAAATAAATTCATAATCACTCGATGCTGAAAAAGATATTTATTGAATTTATTATATTATATAATAATTCATTTTTCATTACATTTTATATTTGACACAATCAAAAAATTATTTATAGCGGAAGAAACATTATTATATTGATAAGATCTTTTAAAGAATTTAAAAAAAAATAAATAAATAATTGATCGATTATTTAATTAGATGAAATTAAAGAAAAAGAATAAAATAAATTCACAACGAAATAATACTATTCATTTACTTCCTATCAACCTATAATACATTAATAGTTTTTCCTTTCTCTTTTTCTTTGTTCCTTTTCTTGTTTTTTGTTAACATATTCGACTTATTGAATCCCATAATAATAATAAGAACGCAAATAGAAGCGTGAAAATAACGTGTCCTGCTATAAAAGCACATATTAATCCGCAACATACACGTTCTCGATAGAACGCATGCGCAGATTTGGCGTGCCGCGCGAGTTTTATAAATCGATGCCGGACGAAATTGTAAAATGATTCGCGTAATGTTTGTTTCGGGTGTGGTTTATCAGTTAGGGAAAATATTTCTTGCAATTTAATCGCAATTCTTTTACAACGATTGATGTAAAAAAATTGTTATCGAAAATCATGTCAATATTTGCCATGATATTTCAACACGTGATATTTCGAACGAATAGATCGAAATACGTGTAAACGCGTATTATCGTACCGGTTGCCAGTTTCAAAAGAAATGAACTATGTTTATTTTTTAAGCGCTTTAGTGTAATTATCGAATTATTGTTCAACTGAATTGGAATAAGAATTCTGCTCATTTTCTATGGGATAGCAGGAATGATTTATTGTTGTATTATGTACGATTCATTGTTTATTATAATGTAATAGAATTAATATTTTGTTACTATTATATTCTAACCGATCCAATTTCGCACGATTCGAAGAAAGTTTAATCTAAGCATAATTTTCTGCTACATTACGTATGTTCTTTAATACTCTACTAACTAATCTACTCGTTATCAATAGCAGCTTAATGAGTATTATTTGTATCATTGTTCTCGTGTATCTATTATAATACTAAGCATATCGCGTAATAAAGTAGAATATTCTTCGCATAATATCCAAGAATTTTTAAAAAAATTACCGAACGTATGAAAAAAATGTTTAAAACATTTTAATAAACATTTTTGAAAATAAAATAATAAATTTTGAAATCGAGGAAAAAGAGCAGAACTCTTCCAATTTAGTTAATACAGTTTCGATTTCATCGTGAATTGTTTTACCGCTTATAACTTTCACCATAATTTGCGGTTTTAATCGATTCTTCCCCCACTCTTCGATCACGAGCGCGCACGAACTCTTCTATTCGAAATTACAAAGCTCTTTATTATTTCTTTTCTCTCTCTTTTTCTATTATCACGAGTAAGAATCGTTTTCATGGAAACATTTTTCCATTCGACCATTTGTCTACATATGATTGCCCACGCTCCGATGAGCACGTTCCTTCTTCTTATAGCTAACCATGAAAACAGGCGCAATAACGAACTTCCTAACGAGATCATTAACTGCATTCTTTGCGGTCGTAGTACCGCATATCGTACTGCCCGTGTTTCTTCTCCCCCTCTTCTTCTCTTCCCCTTCCACTTCTCCTATAGCTCCTCTTTCTTTTCCCCCTCTTTATCTATCCCGTATTTGGCGTCTGCCTCTTCTAATTCGCGAATATATTCCCTTACATGTTCAACTAGCCACGGGGTCTGGGCCGGATTAAAATTTCACCGCGCAAAAATATCGTTGGACCGATTCCTCTTCCTCTTCAGAACCACTTGAACCTCTTCGAAGCTTTCGTGCTTCATATTTTACATTTGTTAACGCTCGTTCAGATAGCATGAATCGTATATATAATATGCGGATTAACATGATTATTTCTTCTATCGTGAATCAAATTTTATACAGCTTAATGCGATTTTTTAACGTGATCCGTATCAGATAAATTATTAATATCTTACAATAGTTTGAAAAAACTATCAACTTTCAACGGAAAAGCAATGTTCAATAATGTAGAGGGCTAAGACTAGCAAATAGTGGGGATAGCTCGTGGTCCAATAGGCAGGCAGATTTGCGATCGTATAACCGACTTCTATTGGTCGTATATCGTATACAGTCATCTACCAATCAACTTTCGTTGGAAACGTTGGAACATCCGTTTTTATATAGCCTTCGAGTTAAATCAGCTGCGAATGAAACTTTTCGCGTCGATTCTTAAAAATATCCACGAAGTCATTTTAAAAAGAAACTGTTCGAAGAGGAGAGGAGATCGATGTTTGGACGGTGACGTAAAATTTTCTCATACTTCCATCTGTGGCTGGCTCGTGTATGTGCGTTCAATAGGATTAGGTTAGGCAGGTGCGAAACTATATATTATGAAAAGTAAACTGCACATAAGGATGTATTACGTGAATCTAAAAGTAGGGAAAAGTGAAATCGTAATGTTGCCTAATAACGAGTTTGTTCCTCTCATGATCTTGGATGCTTCAATTGCCACCATTTATTATTTATTTAGTTTATTATTTTTCTTTTTTTCTTAAATAATTATTATATTTATATTTATAACATAAATAAATGAATTCATAAATATATATGAAAAAAATATTATATTTTATTTTATGAAATAATATTAATGGAATATTAAGTACAATATTAATAAATTACATCAGTAAAATCATTTAATTTATTGCCATGGTTATTATGAGCATCCATATTCATTAGAGAAATGAATTAAAAATCCATTTTTTTTATTTTTTCCATATAAAATTATAATTTATTGAAAATTATTTTTATTTATCCTCTTCTTCCGTTTTCTCTTACTTTCTTTTTTCTAATTTTTACATTTTTCATAGTATATATTACGTCCATACATTGTAACACGTATCGCGTGTAATCGATTATCGATCGAATACAGATCCCTTGGCGCTAAATTCAAGAAGATATATCGAATTCATATTTCGAAAAACATATGAAGTCGAATGGAAGAAATATTTTATACGACCTAACCTCTTTCAAAATTATTATTTTTATTTGTATATACTTATATAATTTAATAGTAACTTAAATTTCAATAAATTATAATTAAAAAATTATTTCTCATTATTTCAATAAATCTACAAAAATATCATAAATATAACGAAATAGATATTGTGTTTTTAAAAATTTTCATTAAAAAATATATTAAATATTTAGACAAGTTTAGCTAAACATAAAACAAACAGATACGATCATCTGCGATTTCACGCGCTCGCGTGCGCGTTCGAATTACCGCTCGTTGTGGATTACCTTGAGGTTCGTTCCGCAACGAATCCCGATCCTTCAACACTAGTACTTTTTTCCCAATTTTCGTCTCCACTAAATTTCATATTTTACTTTTATTTTTTTCTCTATGAAAATTTAAATTTATTTTGTAGAATCTCCATATTTGAACAACCTTGACTAACAAACATTTCACCGCATCTGTGATGATGATGATGATAATAATGATGATGATGATGATGATGATGATAATGAAAATCGTTTGCCTCTTAACTGCCTCCATTTTTTTTTCCTACTAGATTTTTTTTTTGTTTTATTTTTCATTCTCATTTTGGTGTGTTCAAGAGAGTTTCGTTTTGTGCCTGCTTTTTTAGCAATTCAGATTTTTAACTATCGATTGGATCCCCTTTTCGACATGGCCCCCGCCATTCTTATTAAATCAATTAACGAATGAGCAAATCAAACGCTCTGCCAAGTGCGGTTAAAAAGATAAGCAAAGAACGTAGCGCACATTTTTATACCGAATTTTTAATTACATGTTTTTCTTTATTCTCCTTTTTTTTTGTTTTTTCTTTTCTTTTTTTTATTGTTTTCTTCCTTTACGCTCGACGACATCGCGAGAGAAATAATGGGATTTCAGGAACGACTAGGATCCAACTACAACTGGCTACCCCCACATGTCAGGTATCTCAAACGAGTGTTGAGTTGCACGGTGTTCGACAATTGTTTTCCCCTTCTCTCCTCCCTTTTTTTCAATTTTTTAACAACTTTCCACCGTTCACACTGTTTTGAATTTTTTTCTTTTTTTTTTTTTTTTTTAATTTTATTTTTTTTTCCCCCCTCTCTCTCTCTCTCTCTTTATTTCTTTATTTCTTTCTTATGCTGAAGTTTGCTGAAGTTTTTTGTTTAGCGAGCCCGTGTTGTTCTACGTGTTCAGCATCCATCTGTTTTAATCGCGGCGCGAAATAATCGGTGAAAATTTTCACGAAAATACACGTGTGTCTTTCGTTTCGTAGCCAATTCCGTGGTATCGTGGACGGCGACCATGCACAGGTGTGTATTTACCATTGAAAGCGGTTTTTTTTTTTTTTATGCACGCCCGGTTGTTTGTTCGTTCTGCGAAGATTCGAGGATATATGAGACGGTCACGTTACCACGGAATGATCGAGTCTCGATCGAGTGTGAAGGATACGAGCATAATTGCGGTGGAACGATGAAGTTTATGATGCGGCCGTATCGTTCTTCGTTCTTTTTTTTTTTTTATTATCTTTTTTCTTGAATATCGAGGGAACGATGCTATAATTTTATGATAAAATCTTTTTTTTCTTCTTATTATTTTTTAAAAATATTAACATTAGAATAATGAAATGGATTTCATTTTTTTTTTTTTTTTTTTAGAACATATGAAAATATTGTTAATAAAATTAATATTGTAATGA